GTCTCCGGAGAACAAGCCCCGCGGAAGGAGTAGAATTCATCTTAGGTTGATTGGCGTAGGAGCAAGAATCATGTGTATACATGTAGCGGTAGTAATATTTTATTATATATGTTCATCCTCCTTTATAATTGAGATTTCGGCTCTCCTGCCCTTTCGAACAAATACAGCTTTCGAACAAAAAGCTTCAGATAATCCTTAATAAGCTGGAATCTTTCTGTGAAAATGCCGATTTAAGTGTAAATTTAGACAAGACAAAAATTATGATTTTTAATAACTGTGGTAAGTCTTTAAACAACTATACTTGTTCAGATACGGCGCTGATGAACTGGAAAACGTTAAATCCTACAAATATCTTGGACTCATAATGAGTCCTTTCGGAAACTTTAATCTCGCTAGGCAAGAGCTGAAGAAAGTTGTACTGAAAGCACTTTACAAAATACGAAAAGAGATGGGAAACCACTTTAGAGAAAATATAAAATTAACTATGAAGTTATTTGATGCACTGCTATCTCCCATACTCTTTTATGCGAGTGAGGTGTAATTCCTAAAGTGGTTGCTGGGAGTTAATAAATACTGCGATAACAATGCGTGCAGGGCTGAGACAGGAAGGTTCCCAATGAGAATTGAAGCCCAATGTAGGAACTTAAGTTCTGGTTAACCTTAACCAAAAATAATAACAAATTATCCCAAATAGCATACAATGATATTAAATGGAATGAAAATAAAGCTCTCTGGAGCAAAAAAATCAAAAGCTTATTGGAATAGATGGGATTAGGAGAACTCTGGATGAAAGCACACTATGCGGACATAGGAATCGTAAACATGATAATTAAGGCAACGACTTAAGGATATCGAACTACAAAGATGGCTAAGTGAAATAACAACGACACCAGAGAAGATGCTAATAACCAAAGCAACAAATGAATTTACCATGAATTAATTCACAGGATTTTAACGGGTTTTCAGTTCATAGTGTAACCAAAGCCACAAAATGAGAACCTACCGGTTATTCAAAACGATAGACAATTACAAATCTGAAGATTACCTACATCAGGTCACCAATTAATACGCGACACAGAATAGCTCTAACAAAACTGCGACTTAGTAACCACAAATTAGTCATAGAGACAGGACGTTATTCGAGACCGTTTAAGAAAACTGCACAAAGAATTTGCCCAATTTGTAAAATAGAAATGGAGGACGAATACCATTTTATAAATATATTCCCTGCTTACTGGGAAAAAACATGTTCGTTACTAGATTATTTGGAAATAGAATATAGAATAAAAATAAGCAGAATGTCACCTAACAAAATATTCATGTTTCTAAAAAAACCCCCCTAGCGGAAATGCTAAAATACAAAAAGTAATGGCAAACATATATTCAAATACTTTGAAAAGAGGAAAGGGGAAGACGGTAAAAAGTAGATACTCTAGGACTTAATTAATTAATAACTTATTAGCCATATATGGTTCGGAATTTTTTGTTGTTTGTAATTTTAGTTATTTGGAGATAGTTGATATACTACTTATTGTATAACACCCCAAATAAAGAAAATATGTATGTATGTATGTGTGTATGTATGTATGTATGTATGTATGTATGTATGTATGTATGTATGTATGTATGTATGTATGTATGTATGTATGTGTGTATGTATGTGTGTATGTATGTATGTATGTTGCAATATTCATTTGTCTGACAAAGGCTAACACTGATCGGAACAACTTTAATTCAAAAAAAAAATTAAGTGTGGTGAAAACCTTGGTTAAATAATGCTGACATTTTTTATACATTTCGGCCTTTTCGCCAGGCCGATCATTGGCTTTCAAGCAGGGTTCTATTTTGCCCCCCCCCCCCCCCCCCCCCCCCCCCCTCCTCCCATTTATTAATCGCATCTTTCCTTCAACAATTCGTTGGTTTCTGGCAGACGTTTTAAAATCAATTCTGGGTATTTCAAGAACGGACCTCTGGAGCCAGGCTAGTTTTTTTTTATTAAGCACCCACCCGGGCGGGGGGGGGGGCATATTTATTTCAAGCCCATTAGAGGGGGGGGGGCTTAATAAAGACTAGGGGCGATGGTTACCTTACGACGATTTTTATATGAAATTACCCAACCCTTCCCCTCAAAAATCAGAAGATTAGCAGCAATGCAGGGAAAGGGGGGACGGGAAACCTGATCCGTCTACCGTTTTGTCTTTTTCCTGCACAGACGAAGCGGCCACCCTTAATTGGGCTTTGCCCGAAGGGCAGCCTGGTAATAAAAAATGAGAAGCTTAAGAACAAGAAGGTTAGAGAGGGTCATGCAGCCGAGGCTCAGAATCAAATCGGAGCTTCTCGAGTGTCGAGAACGATTGTGAGAAACCAAAGCCAGAAATGAACAGAAATCGAATATATGCCAGCTTTAAATTGTTCACTGCATAAGATTTCCAACTGCCATCATTCAAGGTGGCCACGGGCAACAAAGAGGAGAGAAAAGGTGGCTAAGGTGAGGCTAATTAAGTCATTCTTATGCAGTGAACAATTTGAAGTTGACATATATTCCATTTCTGCCTTTGGTTTCTCACGGGAATACGAACGATTTAACCAAGTAGGGCAGGTTTCATCTCTCATACCGTGACGGAAACTTGATGGCCACCAAATTTTTTAACATAATTCAGTAGCTGAAGGAAGGAACTTTGTAATGATGTACAGCAGAGCATGAAAAGGAGAGCCACTTTTGAGATTGAATCCACTGAATTTGCCTAAAATCGAGTATTTCGTCAAATGGGTCAAAGGGGTCAAGTTTGTTCCCTCATTCTTATTATTCTAAAGAGTGTTGATGATTCCAACCCATACAATTTTAAAGATAAAGGATCATCATATATTACTAGGGGATTGCAAGCCTTGAGTTAAACTCTTCCGTCCGTGAAAAACAGTTAAAGTTTGACAAAATTCGCTTTGTTGCACTGGCGCTTCCGGTCCGCATGCCGTGCGAAAGAAATTGCCCCCAAAGATCTTTACTTAAGAAAATTTCTCCAATCTAGCTTCATGTTTGTGCTATCAGTTTATGTGGCTAAATGTAATTTAGGCAAAGTTAAATTGCAAGCCAATGCGTTCAGCGGTCTTCTCTTCAAGCGTACGTGATCTGTGGAGTGACCGCAGGGGCCTTTTGCTTATCTTGTGACTTACGTTGCATCTCACGCTGGCATTTTTGAGCTGATCTTTGCGGATCTGTTGCTTAGCGAATCGTTGCGGATTCTGAGGCATTCAGGCTCCCGTCCAACCTTAAAGGCACCAGTTCCCAAGCTCATCTATTAGCGATGAGTTTAATTATGGTTACGTGATATAACGTCATAAGGAGGTGGTCAAGCCATTTTTGAGTGAAAGTACATGTTTTTTCAACTTTTTTTCAACAATAAAAGTAAATCTTGTGGCTAAAATCATGCAAAGTGCTTCTTTTGTGTTATTTTTCTTCTCAAGCACAAAAAATCACCGTTTCTCGCACTTTTAACTTGATTTCTAATTCCTGGTACAATCCAAGATGGTGATCATTTTTGGTGACGTCACAGGCTCCCCAGCAGCGCCACCAGTCATAAGATATACCTCATCTTGTAGAGAACATCAAAGGCCTTCCACTGAAGGTAAAATCGTGCAACATATCAAAAACTCTAGGGGGGTTCCATCCACCCCACCCCCTTGTACCACGGTGGGGGTAGGAATTTGCTTGTACGGAAAAATTTGCATATACGGAAAAAGTAAGGAAAAAGTTGACACCTTTACTCAAGCTAACATCGTTCGCTCATGCTCTGCCTAGACGAACAGTTAAGCGATCCAGATTGTTTATATGAGGAAACGTTGACCCGGATAGGAGAGTGAACCTATTATCAAATTCATTCTCTTTTTTTGTCAACAGCAAGTCTTTATTCGTACCAATCTGCAGCAACATGAGAAAACAAAGCATAATGAAAATCAGTACTATCTTCCTCAAATAACAAATAACTGTCAAATAACGAACTTCAGGGAACGAATCGAAAAAAAAGCTGTTGCCATCTTGCACGTCGATAAACGTCGATAAAATCACCTAAGCTAATTTATCCCTGTCTGCAATAAATTTTATCCGTGAAGAGACTTTCATTTTTTCAGATTTCAAATCTCAGTCAATCCATGGGCCCCAATACCCATTTTCGAGCGCCAGTGTCTTTGCTTCTGGATCAGCGTCAACTTTCCCAGAAGGTACCTCGCCCGTCTTGTAATATGTGACTCTCCTTCTTAACGTCCTTACTACATCTGGGTAAGTGCTTTTGAGGTCTTGACTCTCATATGGGTCAGCGGTGATATTGTAAAGTGCAACGCTAATTGTGCTACCAGAGTTCTGCGGATAACAAAGAAAGGCAGTTAGAAGATTAAAGAAAATATGTATATGAAGCAATGTGTCTTGTCATGTTACAACTAAACATTTAACTAAAACTGGATGATAAGATTTTAAATAGCAAATCGCAGCTCGTTAGTTTGTTTATAATAAAGTTTGTAGGATTAAAAGAAGGAAAGTGGATATAACAGTTAATCAGCACGTCAGCAGGTTATTGGTGACTTCGTGTATGGTTCAGAATTCGTGGATGGCAACAGTTCATTTAATTATGGACAATGCTTTGCAGTGGAAAAACCTCTATCTAGTGGATAACGCAACTGGTCTCGTACGGAATACCCAGTTGCGTGTGGGGGAACGGGGGAAAGGGGTGACCGACCTGTAAAGCGGGCAGGGAGGCTCTTCGGGCAATTGGGATTAAACCCAGCATGGCGTTTAGCTTAATTTCACCCCTAGAAGATACCATTCTAGTAAATAGCAAAATGAGTGCCATAGCAATGTGACTGCCTCAAACAATGCAGAATTATTAGTGGTGACTGTTGAGTTTTATCTTAAAACCACAGATTAAAAGTTTGCGGACCTCTCTGAAAATCAACCTCCGATTAATTTCAAGCGTTTAATTGGTCTAAAAATATTTTTGGTGAAATACCCATCAGTCCCATGGGGTCAGTAGACTGGGCGTTTCCCTCTCTGTCCCATCATGCTCTCTTGTTAATACCTTTTTCGTTTTCCTTGCTCCAGAGGACAACTCTGGCGGTTCGTACCAGTCTTTATCGGTTACGTTTAACAACAGCTTCATGTCGCCCACACGAATTGCCGCAGTGTCTCCGTCAATATTGTGAAGAATCGCTGTTCTTTCTGATGCGGCTCCTTCAGAAATTGCGGGCCATATGTTGTAGCCATCCAGCGCTGAACTATCAGAATCCTCTTCTATGCCTTACAAGGAACAAGAAGCAAGGTTAATAGCGTTTTGGTTTTCTACTAATTAAAAATTAAGAATTTGTTCATGCTCCGCGTGCGTATATCGAGTTATGGATGCACGCGGGAAGTTTGGAGAGCACGAAAGATGCGTAAGAGTTGCAAGAGGCGATAGCCGAGTGCAACTCTAGCTTCTTGAGTGCTCTCCAAACTTCCCAAGTGCATCCATAACTCGATATACGCACAGCTAAAAGCATGAGCAAATTCTTTTATAACATAGCTGACAAAAATGCTTGCTTTTTGATTAACTACAAAATTCTCGTAACGCGCTACACAATAACAAACGCTTCTATTGGCTGATTACGAACACACCACAATCATCTAGTTTGAATGAAAATATTCTTTCTGTAGCTTTTCTGTAAAACTGAGAAAGAAAATTTTCTTCTTTATTCGTTAACGATCAATGGAAACTAAGCAGAAACAAAGGTAAAAGAGTCTTAAAGTTCACCTAAAGTTAAAACACTAACATGTTCGTAAGAAGTCGTGGATTATGGTTTGGATTTGCTGAAAAGATGTTTACGTTTTGCTGGGCGAAATCCAGAAAACATGTTTTTAGCGAAGACGACTTTCATCCTTCTTTAAACTCATATTCATTTACAAACATTGGCTGGTCATTACGGCTTCTTGAGAAGACCTGGCAGCAGTTGTTTTTGTGAGTAATAAATTTATGTCTTCTTGTGTAATTTGTGTTTGTTATTGCGAGAGAAATCTTCCTGCTTCAGTCGGATTGTCTGGAGATCTAACAAAAGTGCATAACAAATTTAAAAACAACAATAAAAACGGAAATTTAACCTTTAAATGTTGTTGATGACCAGTTGGTGTCTGTTCTGTTCCCAGTGAATGTCTTTCGGCCAAAATCTGCTGCAGCTGGTCTTCCGACAAATTTGCGAGACGCGCAACATGCGAGTTTTTTTAATTCGGCTCTCATTTTTGCTGCTTGTTGGATCAGGACCTAAAAGGTTAATGCCGATAGAAAAATTGGGCAGTTCTTCGTTGGTTTCTTCCATATTTTAAAGAGAAGGAAAAACTGCACTGCAGCTTAAAAGACGACAACTTTGCAGCCAGGTAAAAAAAAGGCTTACGTCATCTTATTTACGCACGGGCGTGCGTTAATAAAGATTCTGTTCATAGCGGCTCAATAGGACTTATATAGGGTAAGCACGCGCGCTATGTTATAATGGACAATTAACAATTCTTACAGAGCACTTCAGTGATCTAAAGGAGTGACGTGATGTAAGTATTTGTAACAATCAATGGGGGCAAACCTGCAAGATAGAGGAGGGTTGGGTACCAGTCAGTCACGTGAAAAAGCTCACTGCACGTGACTCCAGTCCTCTGCAGCATATTTCCATGAACAAAACCCACTCCTCTGGCCCCTCCCTCCCAGAGGCTTCCTTTTCCACCACGAAGAGGCCAGTTGTAACCACCATCATCAGGTGCCCCGCCATTATCAGTAGTCACAATCAACAAAGTGTTGTCCCATAAACTAAACAGAAAGTAAAGCAAAACGAAAAAACTAAGTGACACATAAGAAGGTACAACTAACAGGGCGAATACAAAAGGAGCTAAGAATGGATATTCTAGAAGAGATTAACGGACTGCAATTGTGGATTTTGGAAACTTGATAGCATATCAGATTTTCAAAGTTCATTTTTGTTGTTTGTGACGTTTCATATAATACTTGGGATAAAGATTTGTTTGACACGAAGCGGTGATTTAGTCATTAGAGAGTTTTAGATCCGAGTTTACCGCGAACCTCTAACCGCTGGGAGTCACGTGACAAGTCTTTCGCGTCACGTTTGAGGTTTACGACGTGCATTTTCAACGTGGGGAGGTAGGTTTTCACGTATGCCATTTACCTGAAAGCTTTTAGCGTATAATTCTTGTTTTATCCAACGTAATGATACGAAAATCTTGTGCAGCAAGTCTTTATCCATTAACAGAGGCACAAATTCGGGCGAAATGCTAAATTTGATAAATCCTATTGCATCTTGAAAACAAGTGCCATTCATGGCTGCTGATTCAAAATGCCGGCCGTAAATTTATAAGAAGAACTAATGTAAGAATTTACAACTCTTTGCTGCTAGATAACCCAGTGTTACCGTAAATTTCTTTTATTTTCACTGATTGATATTTCTTTCATTTCTAAATGGAAAAATAAACCAGAATCCACTTCTTTAATCCACCGCCAATCTAAATCGAATTATGTTTGAACGTCGAACCGCAAACGGGTAACCGCAAACCGCGGTTAGAAGTTCGCGGTAAACTCGGATCTAAAACTCTCTATTAACAAGTTATTTCTCAAGTATTGGCTTAAGCTCAATATTTTAAGCCCTAGAAGAGACCATGCTAGAACAGGCAATCAAACAAGCGCTGTAGTGATTTTAATTCCGCTAAAAATATTGACACCAACACTGTCTTCAACACTGTTTGGTCACTTTTGCCTCAAGGACAAATTTAACCAACACAGACGTCCAGTCGACAAAACTAACATTAAATCTAAACCAACTAATGTTTCTGAATACTTTCTCTTTCATTCTGACCATTCTCTCACTGACATGCAGTTAATCTCATTAGGGAAAATTCATTCTTCACGTGACTCGGTCCGTAAGGCGAGGGAGTCACATTTGATAGATAAGGCCATGACTCTTGAACCTAATGGCCTAAACTGCCGTGACGAATCATTGTAATCCATATCCTTATTAGTTTTTCTTTTCTTTTCTATGTTGTACTTCATTTCCATCTCTCCTTTTTCAACAATGGTTATTGCGACATTTCTATTATTGCTGGCTTTGACATGACTTCACTAAAATTCGAACAACAAAACTATCGATCCTACCGAGATTTTACTTTCACGATGTATTAGAACAGCTGGAGCCTAATTTTCAAACAAATTTTCGCTTCAAAAGGGTTCTTGCTTTTGTGATAGAGTACGCTTGAATTTCTAAACTTTTGTGTGACGCGGCATTTACATGGAGGCCAAGAGAGCTGTCATGTAGGTTTAAAAAATGACTTATTTCAGGGAATTTTGCTATCTAAACAGTTCATGTATTAGAAAAAGTATTACTGTAAGGTTTATGAGTTCTTCGAAGAATAAATTCACGTTTTTGTAGCAAAACTCGGAAACAGATGTTTCTGTTGGTTTCCGTCCGCCATGTTGGAGCTCATCCGGATGAGCACCAGCATGGCGTCTCCATACAAATCTGTGTAAATTTGGGTAAAACGTTTCTTCGAATATCTCGTATACGAAACATTCCTCTGACCTGAATCTTGGCGAGGGTCTTTGCATATTTACCTCCTTTCATTTCCCAGATTCTGGACTTTATCTATTGAACGGTTTTGATTTTTATTTTGATCTATTTTGAATAGCGTGACAGTGAAAACCAGCAATATACTGAATATTGTAATTCCTATCATAAATTCAGTAACATCTGTAAACCTGAAGAAGGCTGGTATGGGCAGCCGAAATAATGTTATGAAAAAAAACAAAACACGTTGTTATGATCAGCTTTGTAGTGGTCTTTGGACTTCTAGTTTTTTGGATATTTTGGCTGATTAGATCTTTTTTCTATAGAGATCCAACGTTTACAACCAGCGGGATCTTCGTCCACGGTTTTTGCAGTTAGTTTCTTTATCACGTTTATATGGCGATTTCGTCCCGCACAAACCTAAGTTGTAACTGTCTGGGTAAAAAAATATTTGCTTTTAATGAAAAACTTCCAAAGTGAGACCAACATTTGGCGATTTACACCCCTTAACTGAATGACAAGTAAAGGGTTCTCCCGGGGATTAATATCATATTTCCTTTTCTTTCTCCCCCGGAATTTACTTATGATCCCTGCTTCCGTACCCCTAAGGGCTTATTACGAATGGGTACTTCAAATTCTTATGGGTGCCGTAATGTAATTTTGATGTCAAATAAATGGATGTTTTATTTGACAGGTCCAGATCTCTACTTGTTATCTACTCACCCAGCTGTCTTCATGGCCTCTGTTATATTTCCTATTGCTTTATCAACATTTTCAACCATTCCTGCATACATTTTTCTGTCATCATCTTTGATGTTTTCGTACTTTTCCGAATACTCGGTGGGAACTTGCAGAGGACTATGGACGCTTTGAAATGGTAGGTATAAAAACAATGGTGTCGAGGCATTGTGGGATAGAATTACCTTCTGTGCTTGCTGCAAATAAAAAGCGCTCGAAATTGACATCCACTTTACTGTGTTGGGGCCAGGTGACGCTAAAATTTGTATCCATATCTATTAAATTCTATTTACCTTATTCTAGACCCAAATGTTCTGATGTATATACCCTATCCTAGAGTAAACTGCTTGAAAATCATACCCTTCACAAGCGGCTCATACCTATATAGCCCAAGTATGGCAGTAACTCCCTATCTAAACGAAAACAAAAAAAGAATAAATAAGAATCTATTGTTATTCCAAACCTCAGCGTAAAGATACGTAGAATAAACTCCGTCTTTATTTTCTACAGGCGTTTCGTTATCATGTAGATCAAGAATTCTGGCTCTCTCGTGTGTGTAATGATCTCCAGCCCCAAGATATATGCCATAAAATGAATCGAAGCCACGGTATCGTGGTGTGTATGACCAGCTACAGAATCCCAGATGCCACTTTCCTATCATATGTGTAGAATATCCTGTTGTAAAATAAAAATGAGTGCATTTTAAAGCTTTTGAAATATAGTTTTTGTTGCGCTCAAAGACAATACATCTGGGGTTTTTAGAACCTGCAACAACAAAATGTAAAAAGAGTGTATAAAATTGAATCCTACAAACAAGTATCTACAGAAAATCATACAAACAAGAAATGGGATCCTTTGGTCCCACTCTTCAATGGTAATTGTTAAAATTTAATTGGCAAATGTATCATTTGTTTCCAAGTTACCAGTTAAAATCAGTGATTGCCTGTGTGTTCATGCGTAAAGATGGCCCCGGGTCGGAAAAGCATTATAAACAGCCATATTTCGTCGATATCTGTTACTGAAACAGCTTAACTTTGCTTTTACTTAGTGAATACATACACCTTATTCGATGGTTTAGCGTATAATACGTGCGGATATTTCGCGAGTTGCGTGGTATTTTTCCAAGCCCCGCAGGGGAGATGAAAAATAGGAGCAATGAGCAAAATGTCCGCTCGTATTATATGCTAAACCATCGAATAAGGGGTTTATTATTCCACTACAAAAAAAAATGTTATTTGGCAATTGGCTTCTATTTTTAGGTAAGAGTATTCAGAAACATCCTGACTCCGTCTGTAAGAATGACGTTAACAATTAGCAATATATTCGCGCGTATTATATGCCAAACCATTGAATGAGAGGTTAATTCATGACTTTACTGTAAAAGAAAAAATGTTATTTTGGCTTCTATTTTCTAGTAAGCGTATCCAAAACATCCTGATTCTGTCAGCCATAGTTGCTCCTTTTGCATCCGCCGGTATTCGCCCTGTTGTAAACTGG